TGATGAATTTTAATAATTCATTCTCCTTGTTTTTAGTATCCCTTATTTCACTGACGTTTATGTGATTTAACTTGTAAATGTGGATCACAAAATTCCTAAACTTTCAACAGTTGTCTGTTTGGGAGCTCATGGCCCATTTTAGCATGTCACCAAGGCTGTGGCCCATCTGTGCATAGGGAAGAGAGACACGGGGTCTCTACAAGACAAAATCCCGGAATCAAGGCCGCTGGCTGTTCTGAGGTGTGGGAGGTGAGGCCGTTCCCACCCCTCAGGAATACCGTTGATCATGACGGGGTTTATCCGTGGCCCATCTCTGCCTTAGGCGCCATCTGGATGTGTCAGGTCACCGGCATAGCTGTGCTCGGAACCCAGCCATTTCTGTCCAGTGTTGGTGTCTCCCCCAGACTCGCCTTGTGCCCGGAGATGTGTGGGGCAGGGAAAGAGCAGAAATGATTCTCATTGTCTCTCCTAAGCCTGGGCCCCCTGAGCTGTTTAGCTGCCGAAGTAAAACCCACTCCATCTCCTGTGTGTAGAGGAAATGTTCGACCCCCTCTTCCTTCCTCCTTTTCCCATCCCTCTCTTGCTTCTTTTCTGTCCTCTTTCCTTCCTTTTCTGCTCTCCATTCTCTCACCCTCTGCGTCAGGAAGACTTGTATTATAGAACATGGTGCACATCATGGACGAATCAGTGACTGTGTACAGCGCTAACGCATCCACGTCACTAGCACCTGAGTCAGGAAGCAGCTCATCCTCCTGGCCTCCCTCAGCAAACACCGCCCTACCTCTCATCAGAGTGCACCAGTTGCCCCATCTTTAAGATTCGTGTAGATGGAACAGGACGGTGTGTCTTGGTTTGCACCCGTAGCCGTGCCTGTACTGATGACTCGCTCCTCTTCATTTCTGTAGAGTGCTAAACTCTCTGCACTGTGCAGACAGCCCTGCCTGGGAGGATGGTGAGAATACTCACCTCACAAATGAGAAGATCGAGGCTCAGGAGGGTGGAGCCCTCACTTTCAGGAGCTTGGGACTCTCTAGCACCCCTCCACTCCCCCCAAATCCTGATCTGTTTTCTGACAGGGTACTTCCTACTGTGGTTTCCGTTTTGCCCTGGGGTTTCTCTGAGTTCTGGTCAACTGTGAATATGTCTCAAGCCCACAGTGGGGGATGTGAAGTTGGGGCTACTTGAGTAACAGGAACTGGGTTTCCTCTTGCTTTCTGAACAGCCCAGTTCCAGACGTGTTGGAACTATTTTTGGTGAGCTGGGGCCTCCTGGATATCCAGATTTCCGCCAGGCCCCTCACCCCTAAGTACCCTGCCTCACGGCCCTCTGCACTTCAGGGTGGGTTTGTCATCTTCTGATTGGGAACAATTTAATTCAATTCTGACAATAACTGCCCCGAGTCAGCACAGCACCCACAGGTTAAAAGCTCAGCCCTTAAACCTCCTCCAGTTCACATGGCATTTGTAAATGCAGGGCTCCTGGGTTATGCAGCACAGGTTCCTGCAGATCCGTCCTCAGTTTTTGTAATTTGCTATAGTATCTCAAGGAACTCAGGAGAACACTTGCCTTACTATGACAGGACTATCACAAAGGATACTATACAAAGATGCATGAATGGCCAGGTGAAGAGGTACACAGAAGGAGGTCCAGGAGGGTCCCAAGCACCTGAGTCTGTGTTCCTGTGGAGTCAGGGAGCACCAGTATTGCTCAGTTCTCCAGAGTAGGAAATGGCTGTGATGGTTACTTTTATGTGCCAATTTCACTGGAACACGGGGTGACCAGGTATTCGGTCATACGTTATTCTTGGACTTCCTGTGAGGGCCTTTAAAAGATGACATTAACATTTGCATCTGTAGACTGTTTAAAGAGGGTTGCTTTTTCTAGTGTGGGTGAGTCTCATCCAATCAGTTGGGGACCTGAATGGAAAAGGCTGACCCTTCACCAAGTCGGTGCGCAAATGCCTTCAAACTGAGACACCCACTTTTTCTTGCTTTTAGATTCAAACTCCAACAGCAGTCCTCCCTGAGTCTTGAGCTTGCTGGCCTTGGACCTGGGCTACATCATCGGCTCTTCTGGTCCTCGGGCCTCTGGATTTGTTTTTGTTTTCGGGGATTGAACTCAGGACCTTGCACTTGCAAGGCGGGCGGTGGAACCACTGAGCTAAAATTCCTGGCCCTTGGGCCTCTGGATTTGGACTGGAAGTAAGTGTCAGCTTGCCGGCTTACCCTGCACAGCTTGGAACCTGTCAGCCTCCTCCAGCATGTGGCCCAGTTCCTTATAACAAGTCTCTTTGTACCCAGGATGTGTGAACACCCAGTAGGTTCTGTGTTTCCGGAGCATTCTAATGCAGGAGACAGTGTCCACCGCAGGCTCCCACGTGGAGTAAGGACCAGTGGGGTAGTTCTGGGCAGAGCCACTGAAGATGCGCAGTAGGGTGATGGTTGTGAGGGGGCAGAGGCAGAAGAGCGGGGCCATCTGAGGCATATCCGGAGGTAGGATAGGTGGATATGGGTTCCCAGTTTACCACGGGATGTGGAAGAGAGGGGTGGATGGAAAATGAATCACATATTTCATGTTCAAGTCACGACTAAGATGGGGAAGCTAAGAGTTTATTATTATGTTTTTTGTTTTTGGTATGTTTGACATTTTGGGGGTCCTTACAGGTCCAGGGAGAGACTACTTCTCCCAGGGTGGCGTATCTTAAAGATGATGATTGTTAAAAGCATACCTTTCTGATGCCAGTTCTGAGCCCAAATCTCCCAACCACTTCCTTTACTGAACTCTGACACACTGAGTCAGTATTTCCCTGCCCAAGTCACCCAGGACGAGGTACCAGTGGACTAGAGATCACCCCACACCCGAGTCTGCTGGAACAACTCGAACTAGCCAATCTTAAACTGTTTTCCCATGTCACCATTCCCATGGAAACCTCAATAAATGTTCAGTCCCAGGTTTTGCTCTCACTTCGGCTCTGCCTCCTCACCCAATCTGGTGCCTCCCTTTGGCCCAGGAAGCATAAGTATTACATTTTTCTACCCAGTGGCATTGACTTCTCCATATCACAGTCATCCACATGAATTAAAACCCCACAGGTAAAATTTTGGGACAGAGGGCAAGAGTTTGGGGTGGGCTGGGCTGAGACTGGTGAATTCTGTTGCCTTGGAAGGAGGTACACGGGGTGTATCCTGAGTGGGAGCAGTGTCCAGGAAGCAATAAGGTTAGGAGTGAAAGGCTTAACTGGTGAACAGATGAACATGGTATATCCATAACGCAGGGATGCCGGCCAGCAAACAGGAAGAAACAAAACATACCCAGTATAATGTGGATGTGCCTGACAATGCTATGTAAGAGAAGCCGGATGCAGGAGACCATGCAGTGTAAGAAACCTTGCACGTGGAATGTCCAGAATTAGGAAGTGGATTTGTGGTTTCTGGGTGCATTCCCACTGAGGTGGGAGTTGGGCTTGACTGCAGTGCCCATGAGGGATTTCTTAGGCGTGATGGAAAATCCCCAGGCTGGACTGTTGTGATGGCTACACAGCTCTACCAGAAATCAGTGCCTGCAAACTTGAAACAGGTACCATTTGTGACTTACAAATGACACCTTGATGCCATTAACAAGGATCTGTGTCTCAAAAGATACAGAGGTCTGGGGTGGAGAGAGAGACTTGGAAAGTGTTAGCAGGAGCAGTGGTTGAAGTTGTGGGCATAGGTGTGCCTGCCCACCTGGGGAGAGGGTAAGAACTAAGGGCGACTGCTGATATCGCAGTAATCAAAGCTAGCCAATACGTCTTGAGTTTGTACTATGTCCACACCCATACTAAATGCTTAGTTTTTTCTTTTTCTTTTTTTTAAATATTCTTGCTTTTTGAAACTGGTCCAAAAATCTCCTTGGATCTTTAGTTGCAGTTTATAGAAACAAACAAGGCAAAGGTGCAGAGCGTGTTCCGGTTATAATCGGGGTGCCCCTCAACCCATTCTTTGCTCTCTCAGTCCTGCTTGGTGTCCCAGGAGTTGGAGTTGTAGGGACAGCGATCCAGACTTCCTCACATCCTGCTTTCCAGTTACTTTTGATCAACAGACCCAAGATGAAAAGAGCTTGAGGGCTGGGGTCTAGCGCACCACCGTTGGACTTACCTCTGCTTTGGGGCTCCTCCCAAGGTCACACCTGTCTCCGTAAATCATTCCTTTTTCTGCCCCTTTAGGTTTAGGAAAGGTAACAGCTCCCCACGACCTCCCGAAAGCCGTCCACCTGTCCCCTGGGGCTGTGGGGTATGGGCTCACTGCCGAAAGAAACTTTGCAGCTGTGAAAAGGTAGAGGGATCTCGAGGTGGGGAGAGGTTCTGAGTGTGAGTGTGAGAGAGCTTTGCAGGAGCTGCATTGCTGGCTTTGAAGACAGAGAGGGGTAAAATCAAAGAGGAATGGCAGCCCCTAGACACTGGAAAGGGCAAGAAAACAGTCTCCTTGAGCACGCAGAGAGCACAGCCTTGTTTTTAATTTTAGTCCCATAAATCCCATTTCAGGCTTCTCATTTCCACAACTTTGAGCTAATAAACCTGCCCTGTGTTAAACCACCAAGTTTATGGTTATTTGTTACAGCAGCCACAGGAGGCTAATATATCACAGCCTGATGCTGGGTACATGGTCATCCCCTGGGGATCCTCTTAGCCCTGCTTGTATCTTCCTTAATCTCTCTCTCTCTCTCTCTCTCTCTCTCTCTCTCTCTTGTCTGTCTGTTTTGTATTTAGAGACAGGGTCTCCCTATATAGTTCAGGTTGGACTTGAACTCACTACGGACCCCGGGCTGGGCATCAAGCTCACAGCAATCCTCCTGCCTCAGGCTCCCAAATGCTGGGATTACAGGTGTGCACCACCACATCCTGCTCACTAAATTCTTTTTAATTGACTAATTTTTGTCTGCTATCTATTTCCTGAGGGTACCAGTACTGACAGAAAAAAAAAAAAAACAAAAGCAATCAACTTGCCTCCAATCACAGAGCTCATGAGAAAATGAAGTTGGGATTCCAGCCCAGACAGTGTGATAGGAGGGTCCATGTCCGGAACATCTCAGTTCCGCTAGGTGGCTTTGCTTCCCACTTGGACCACCATTCGGGGGTGAGCTGGATAGCATCAGGATGGGATTGTTTGTTTGCTTTCTGTACCAGGGATCGAACTCCAGACCTCGTGCTTGCAAGGCAGGCGGTGGAACCACTGAGCCAAATCCCCGGCCCGGTGGGATTGGACAGGGCTACCATTTGCCCTTCCACTTGATTCCACCTCAGAGGCCGTTTCCTCTTCTGCTTGCTGTTTCACCAGAAGTAGGAGATGCCACCGTACGTCCCGTGGAGGTCACACCCTCCTCACGCGTTCTCTTTTCCTCCCTTCAGCATGTCAGCCTTGGCTGTAGGCCCCACCCCGTCTCTGTTCTGACAGGTAGCATGGGAATCTCAGGAATGGGTCCTTAGTAGCACTTAATTTTCAGAGACTCAGTAGAGCTAGCTTTTCACCTGCTTGTTGGAAGAACACAAGGAGATTTAGAGGAAGCCACTGCAGAGCGGCACCCTGGCCCCAAAGGGAGCTCAATCTCTCTGCCCCTGCTAGCTTGGATTGCATCCTCTCGTTTGTTCAGATGATTTGCTGCACCCGCTGAGTCTTTACAGCAAGTTAGAGGACCTGTGGGTGTCTGGAGACCCCTGCAAACTCTCAGTTGGTGTCAGAAGTGAGGACAGTGTTTCGTGAGAACTGTGACCTCGAGCCATCAGTGGGTCCCTGCGTATCACATCCTGTTTCTGTTCTCATTTCCACGTAGGTCAGGAAAATCCCAGCTGACCTCGGGGAGTTGGCGATCCCAGGAGTTAAGGCATCTGCAAGTTCCCAAGTATTGATACAGATGCGGAGCACAGTGTTCAGTTAAACTAACATTTCTTGAAGGCTTTTGTACATAGGAGGAAGGCGAGGATCGGGATGTCCCCCAGGAGGCCCGGGTCAGGGATGTGGATGAAGAAATGCACTGCGCGCTGTGCCGCGGGGCCGGGACCCTCGCTAGGGGCTGCACAGAAAGGCCACCCTGGGACTCCAGAGAAGGGGTTCATGCCTGAGACCCCACCGAGGGCTCAAACTCAGGAATCTGCCCTGGAACGGGGACGGAGCCAACCCTGTCACCCTCCGGGCCCCCACCCAAGTGCACGGTCTGCCATCTGCTCCCTCGGGGCCCCCTGCGCCTCTTCTCCGACCCTCACCCATTTACCACTCTTCCTCTCCTCTACGCTGATGACCATAAAATGTGATGAGTTTGGTGGCGTCTAAAGGATCTCTTCAGAGCCTGCACCAGCAATCATCTTAAGGAAGATGTTATCACGAATGACTGGCTTGGATTACAAAAGGAAACCCAAGGCTAGGAAGGCAAAGAGTCAAAGGCACAAGAAATAAAGTCTCTGAGTTGCAAAAAGGGCAACAATCTGGAGGTAGACATTTGGGGACAAGAGTCTCTAGAGTTCAGCTGGACGCTTTCACAAGTCCTGTGGCTGGCCAGGACTTAATCCCACATCACCCAACGCCACAAATCTATATGCAAGTACCTTATAAAGAAATCGAGGCAGATGCCTGAGTTGTATCCTGGGTTATCCACTCTGGGAACAAGGACAGAGAGCACCACATACTGGATTAATTCTGTTCCAGCCACATTTGGAGTAAAAAGTGAAAACAGAGGTACAATGGGGAGGATAGTTGAGTTTCCAAGTTTCATAATGCAACAGATTGGGCAATCTCGTGTAATTCCAGGGATTAGGGGGTCTATGGCTTTTATTTTTATTTACTGATTGGTCAATAAAAGCTGAGGCTTTTGAGAAAGTACTTAATTTATATTTCACACTTCTCCCACTTTCTTCATTTTCCTGGGGAAAACTAATATTCACCATCCAGAGAGCATCTTTTAGGAACGGAGGGGGACCTTATGCTAGAGCATAATCATTATAAACAGAACCATTTCTTGCTAATGAGGGTACATGATCTCCCCTATCTTTTCTCACTTCTGATCACCTCAGGTCAAAATCCCAAAATAAAAAAGTCATCAACAGTAACTTCATGTCTATTTCTTCTCTTCAAAGAAGGGGACACAGGAATGGTTCCTAATGACTGGGTCACCCTCAGATGAGAAGTTGATCTGGGATCACGAAAGAATCCACAGCCCCCTCCTCACTTCTCCTGTAACTGGACCTCTGCGTTCGCGGCAGCAGAATTGGTCACTGTGTCGCTGGTCGGGGCCGAGTCCTCGGTCAGGGCCCTCTCCAGACTGGCGGGCAGGGAGCGGATCAGTCTCTCTCGGAAGTCCTGCCCCACGAACACGTAGAGCATCGGGTTGAGACAGCTGTTGAAGAAGGCCAGGGAGCTTGTTGGGCCTACCAGGATGTCAAGAATTTTGTATTTTCCCTCAAGCAACATCTCTTTGAGCCAGACAGTGCTTAGAAGGGCAACCAGTTGGAAGGGGAACCAACAGATGAAGAAGGAAGCCACAACGGCCGTGAGCACCCGAAAGGGACGGCTGGAATTCATCATGCCTTTCCTGCGAATCTTGGCAGCGATGAGCCCATAGCAGATGGCGACCGTGGACATGGGCGTGCTGAAGCCGATAATGAATCGGATGATCCCTCTGGCTGTCAACGTGGCGAGGGCCACCTCCAGCCTCTTTTCAACAGTGTCTCCCCAGGATGCGAAAGAGAAGGTACAGTATATGTTCCCATTTGGGTCACTTGCTGTTGACAAGAAAATGAAAACGGGCAAGGTAAGGACTAGTGCAAGGATCCAGGGTCCGACGATGACCTTCTTGGCCAGGCTCACGGTGCGGTGGTTCTGGGCCCACACTGGATGCAGGACACAAATACAGCGGTCCAGAGCGATGAGAGCGATCAGGAAGACACTGCCGAACAGGTTTATGTCCACAATTATGTGAATCAGCTTGCAGAGGAACCAGCCAAAAGGCCATTTTTCTCCCATGGCCATGGAGACAATGAGGAAAGGGAGGGTGGCGGTGAAGGAGAAGTCGGCTATTGCCAAGTTCAGGTAACAGATGGAGGTGACTGTGTGTGCCATCCGGAACCCAGCCACCCAGATCACCAGCCCATTGCCCAGCACACCCAGGACACAGGTGACCGAGAGTACCACCAGTGGGAGAATCCGCAGAGCCATGTAGCCAGCTGATGCGTAAGGCGTCTCTTCAGATCCATTGAGAGGGATGGAGAAGTTGGCGGCCATCCTGCTCACACCTGAAACGTTTCAGCAGAGGTCATTCGTCAGGTGTGGCATTGTGTGAGAGCATCCCCGTTCAGACCCTGTATCACCCACCACTCTAACTCCTACTTTAACCAGGGGACCCAATCTACTGAGCCTGGTGGCCAGCGATGCCATAAAATTAGAACTTTCTAGGACATCCTTAAGGGGAAGGAGTTCTCCACGTTTCCAAAACGATGAGTATGCATCTCCTTCTCATCCAACGGGAGCCCAGGCTCTGTCCACCAGCTGCAGGGCTGACCTGAGCCTGCACAGTCATCCCCACAGCAAGGACAGCACTAGACTCACACTCAGAGGCTTCACATCTGCTTCCACCCATGACCGAGTGGAAAAATCTCGGCAAATTCTACATTCTCTTTCAGCCCCAAGTTCATGCTGTCTACCAGACCCTGCCCCTTCCCACTGTGAGAGACTTGGAACTCTTGTCTGGTCAGTGTCTGAGTTAGTTCAGGGTTTGCCTTGAGTTTCCAGTTGAAAACATTCCTGAGCAGACCCTGGTACTATGTGGTGATACCTCACATGCTCCGTGTCCTGTGCCAGAGGGGTCCCCATCTGTACATGCAAAATAGTACTCTTCACTATTCCTGCTTGAAATCATCTTTGGGAAGCAAATAATTGTCACAGCTTCAGCATTCTGTGCCATAAAGAGCATGAAAACAGTAAGTCCTGTTAATATTTGTGGGGTTCTCATCAGAGGCCGTAGATTCTGTTGATTGCTCTACACAGGGACCAGTTTGATGGGGAAAAAATTCCTCAGTAGTGTTTGTTATTTCTAGTTTTCATAGGAATAAATTGGTGTTCCAAACAATTGCAAAGCCCACTGAGGATCACTTAAATCGTAAGAAGCACAGAAAGCATTTTGGTCCAGCTGGTATGGAAACAGCAATAACAGAAGCATCGTTCACACGAAATCATCAAAACAATATTAAGGGGTACTAACCATCACCTCTCTTTTACCAGGCAGAAGCCACACCCCGAGGGTTTCACTGGCCTTTTCAGCATATGTCCAGCCAGTTTGTTGGGACAACAAAGTGTGAAAAGCACACTGAACCAGCTCCAGAGCTATGGCCTTTGCTCTGCTGAAGTGCTTGCTGCCTCCTGTCCTACCCAGGAGGTAGGACACCCCCGTCCCGATACCCTGGTGTAATGGTTTCCTTTTCTTTCCCTTCTTTCCTAATTCTTTTCTCATTTTCACGGAGGTCTTCTATGGAGTACTGTGTAATGAATCACGGGGCTTCTCCAACTTAGCCCTGTTGACATTGGACTTGGACATTGCTTTGTTTGCAGAGCCCGTCCACCACTCCAGATGTATGGAAGTATCTTTGGTGTCTGTCCACTGGGTGCCAGTAGCCATTCCCCTCCAGTAACGACAACCAGAAGCGAAACAACCCCTTTCTAAAGTCAGTGTGGTAGTTAAAGACCACTGGGGTCAAGAGTTGCACAAATCTTCATTTTTATCTCATTTCTGACACCCCCCCCATGCGAGTTCTTAGACAAGGTCGACCTTGGAACCTTGGCTTCCTCCTCCGCAAAACAAGGATGGTTTCATGATGAATACTGACTTTCACGTAAGGATTAAAGGAAAATAGATGTGGAAACTTCCAGTGGATTGTGTGAGGCTTCACAAACCAGAGCCCATTGTCTTCACCAGGCTGGCGATGCCTGAGAGAGGCGTTCTGGAACTTCAGGTCAGTCAAGAGCAGTGCTCCTAACTGTGGTGCCTGCTACTTGTGAACCCCATCATCCCAGATCATCACAGTAGCCCTTGCAGATCGCCCTTGTTGATATGGGTGCAGTGCTGACTATACCAGAGGTGCGGTAAATATTGAATAATACTGATCATAATATTACCACAGTATAGAAGAGGAAGGAAAGACTCAGACTCATTGTATTATTTTTCGGAGCTCCCATTTCGAAAGCAGCAGGGCCAGAATTTGACCTCCATCAGCTGATTCACCCAGACAAACAATCGTTACATACTCCCACCCCACAATCCTCAGCAGACGCGGATCGCTCTTCCTACTCTACACCCATCCCGCAAAGCACTTCGAGGAGGCTCCTGAAGATGACGTGCTCCGGAATCTCTAAATCAGCGACTTAAAAACATCAACACAAGAAGCACGCTGAGAGGTGGGGTCGGGCTAACAAGACGACGTCGCACGACGCCCCTGTGGTCCAGCTTGGGTTTGTGCCAGTCACCTCGTTTCAACATCCTCTGTGTGGGCCAAAAGTCACCATCATGTGACACGAGCGGAAACCACAATATATTACAGGAAGTGAGCTGCCCAGTGTCACTGTCGTGAAAGTGACCATAGAGTTTAATTTCATAACCATAGAACCCAAATGGAGACTCCTCCACAGTCCTTGGGAACTCACTACTTTCTTTTTAGCATCTTCACATCCCTATCTTTAAAATTTTCTGCAAATCCCCTACCTCATCTACTGCCCTACACTCAACTTACACACTTGACTGAAATTTCACAGAGAAAACGCTAACCTTAGAAGGGAGTTTTTAAGCCTTCTCTTTTCAGACCCTCCAAACTACTTGCATCTGTTTTGGGGACTAAAAGGAGTTTTGTACTTTTCAGTCACTTCCATCATTCACTCTGGACCCTCCTCTCATCTTCCCCCAAACTTGACATCTGTACTTTTGCTTCTATTTTATGCCCCCAAGCTCCCCAGATTTAATTTCTACTAGGTCACCCCAGCTGTTATATGAAATCATAATCCCAGAACCTCTCCCTTTAAAAAGATTTGATCTCTGTACCATGCTCCTATCTCCAGCCCTACATCTTCTCCTGCTCTCTCTCCAGATGACCTGGTCCTCCACACTTCACCAGATGTGGGCTCCTGGAGAAGCCTTAGTGATTCCACGTTGCTGAATCCTGTGGTCCATTCTTATCCCGATTCCCAGTGACACAGGGTCCGTCCGAGTTCTTCCTTCCTGAGACTTGTTTTTCTTTTGCTTTGAGATGGAGCACAAGTTTCATAGCCTCTATAGCTCAGTTTTCCAACTTTTTTTTTCTTTTTAGTTTAGTTTACCAGCTTTTTCAGTCCTCCAGTTTTGAGTCTAAAAGTTGGGGTCATGCCTGTCCCCTCACCCAACCCTCCCTCTCCAGTCTTTCCTGATACAGTGCAGTCTCCCAGCACCTCTCATCTAAATCATCGGCTTTGGCATTGCTCCAGCGCTCTAGCTGATAGAATTGGCTGACTTCCTTATGTCGCCCCTGGTGATGCAGGTGACACCCCAGACCCTACACTCCCCAAACCAAGTCTCGTACATCCTGTTCTCCCAGACAAGCCCTCTTCCAAAGCTTCGTCTGTGCTGAACTCACGTATTTAGTTGTCAAAGCTCCAACCGGAGAATCCATCATTGATCTCTCTTCCTTTACCTCTCAGTTCAATCCCACGGCTACAGATTCTGTCACGACGCCCTTTCCCCTGAGCTTCCCTCTCCATGCACTTTTTGAATATTTACACCTCACTTTAACTATTATTGTCCCTCAAGGTGTGACCCACGATGTAAAGCTTGACCTGCTAGTTACCTTTCTTGTCTATCTGTTGATTGATTTCTCCCCTCCATACCCTATGCACTTGTTCCCAACTCCACAAGGGTACCGAGTTCCCTTGGTGCTGTGTCCGCAGAATCCACACTGTCCAACAGGGATGCAACAGGAGCCGCACACAGGAGGCACGCAGCTGACTTAAAGTCTTCTAGTCGCCACGTTGCAAGAGAAGTTTAAAAATCCGGGGAAAATTCTAGTGCCCCAGTTTATTTAACCCAACATATTTTTAAAAATACTTTTGGAACGTGCTACCAAGTAAACAACTTTAAGCCAGTCATGGTGGCACAATGTCTGTAATTGCAGCTACCCCTGAAGGCTGAGGCAGGAAGGTGGAGAGTTCCAGGCCAGCCTGCAAACTTAGTGAGACACTATCTTTAAAAAACCTGAAGAAATAAAATGAAATAAAAATAAACATAACAAGTATATTCAGTTTAAGAGTCCAGTAGCGGCCCTCAGCAGGTGGGTGCGATACAAACAGCTCTTTGAGAGTGTGGGGACGTCTCTGTCCTATAATAGGCGTTCAGACAATAACATTAAAATGATCAGACTGCAACTTACCACCGGCCACGCTCCCTTTCCTGTTGCGGGCTCCTGGCTTCCTGTGCAGTCAGGCAGGCTGGGGGCCTCAGCGGAGACTTTATTGGGACAGAAGACGGGCGGGGAGAAGAAGCTCCAGCCAGTCACGAGAGAGAAACTCCAGCGGCTCCTCACAGTTGGCCCAAGGAAGCAGATCGCAACAGACGCAGAAAGGAGCTGGTCTGGATGTCTCTGGCCCCAGCCTTCCGTGGGAGGCAGAGTCCGCCCTGTAAATATCAGGGCCCAGGAACGGGTGCCCGGCTCTCGATCGGAAAATGCAGGACAACGGAAGAAACAGTTACTGAGGGAGACGAAGTCGGGGCAGGCGGTAAAAGAAAGTGATGGCTAAGCCGAAAACCTCACTGCGCTGAACCAGCGCCTCTGACACTGGACTGTGGGGTTTTCCCGCATCCTACAGTTCTACCCGGTCCCCGGGCCACCCGGGCGGCGTGCGAGAGGCACAGACGCGGCTTCTGGGTGGAGGAAAAATGCACAGCACTCTGCACTCATCTTCTTAAAAGCCCCGCCTCGAGTAGCGTAGTTGGGTAGATCTGGGGTCACCTCCGAGATGGGAGCCCAGCGGGAGAAGCAGAGCCCAGCGGTCTGAGGGCTGCCTGGCGGGCAGGGGGCCCCACAGGGACTTCTCGGTGTGGGCGGGACTGGTCCTCCAGGGGCCTCTCCGCCCTCCGTCCTCCCGCGGCCCTTGCCCCGTGCGTGTCTGCATCCCGATCTTTCCTGCTTGGGGCGCCAGTCACACGGGGTCCGGCCCGGCCTAAGGACCTCGCTTCACCCTGGTTCCATCTTTGAAAGTCTTGAGCGTCACGTTCTAGGGGGTTGAGTGCTGCAGGGGCCACGAGGTACCGCAGCATGGAGGCGCGGGCCGCGGTGGTGAGAGAGGCCGAAGGGACAGATGAAGCCCCGGGGAGGTAGCTGGGGTGCGGGTTTGGGCCGAGACGGGGCTTCCGGGCTGCTGGCTGAGGTGTCCTTGAAATATTAAGCTCGGAGCGATACACGCAAACAGTGTAAAATAGGAGATAAAGAGTGTTTTCTAGTTATTGGGATACAGGCAATGATTATCCACAAGAATTCATTCTAAGTACATTGCATCCATTATATGGTGGGGGAGAATGCTCTGTAAATGTTATTACTCTCAATTCATAATAAAGTGATGAGAATCAGCAGTTAAAATGAGGGACTGAATAGAGCCTTCCATCTGTTTTTTGTTTTTGTTTTTCATGGGGTGTACAAAAAAAGATAAGAACAGATTGAGGGCCAGGGATTTGGCTCAGCGGTTCCGCGGCCTGCCTCTCAAGCACGAGGACCCGAGTTCGATTCCCCAGTACCAAAAAAAAGATTGGCACTGGTTTGCTGGCTCGAGAAAATCTAAAGCAGACTCTGCTGTCCGCTATGAGAATGACAGGAGCTCCAACAGCAGATCCTCAGGGTGAGGACCGTGAACTACAGCGTTTGGGGGCGCTGCAGACCCTGAGCCGTCAGGGGAAGCCGATCGCTCTCCACCCGGCACCGCCAGGGGCTGGGCTGCCTGCTGCGTGTCCGGTTCCTGCAGACCCGGATTTCAGCGCAGGCTTCACGGTCTCAGGCCCCCCACTGTCCCCAGATGCCCCAAATGCCGCTGCAGAATTTCAGGCCCTCACCAGGACTGGCAGGGATTTTCCCACCCCGTGCTGCCCTGAGGCCACGTCCCTGGGCGCTGGCAGATGAGGCAATCTGACACTTTCCTTTCTTTCTAACCCAGCTGCCTTGCCCCACACACCCTTGCTCAGCATGTTTTTGCAGCCCCTGGGAATCACGGGCCACTTGGGATCAAGAAACGAAACCTGCTTATGCTTTAAAAAGGGAAGGAGATGATGGGAGTCCAGGCAGGAGTGGCATCTGGACCCTTCTCCATGCATAGCCGCGCCCTTGTCCGTCTCTTCACTTCAATTCTCCTACAGTATTTTGCCTGCTTTGCAATTCGCATTACCCCTCCTTTGTGGGACATCTATTGTGTATGACCACAAAGAAATTTTTATAACATGTAAACGTGAATGTGCCTCATTTCTGATTAAAAATCTTCAGTGATCGTATTTTCCTGGCTTGGGAAGCTGTAGGTGAAGTCAGGAGATATGGCAGCTATCTTGTAGCCATGAGGTGTCTATCACGAGGAATCCACAACATTGAGGATTGTAAAGTATGAGGGTAACAGTAAGTGTGGTTCTTGATTACAGCATTCAGACAGAACATAACCTAATACCACCCCTTTCCAAAATTCTTGCAAAGTAAGCCATAAATATTGCTCTTAGTTTAAGCCTTTCTTAAGTGTAATTGTATATTACTTATAACTGGAATCGGCCCGTTGGAACCGGGTACTGGAAATAATTTCAGGATGGCTGCTTTTACCTCTGTCTCTGAATCTTCCTGCCCCTATTTCTTCACAATGTTTTAGAACCTTAGATGATAATGAAAATTTCCTAAAGACTGAAACCTTGCTGGGCTGGAAACTTACAATGACCTTGCAAGGTGGGCTTCATCCTCACAGCACTGGCTGAGTGGAGGTGCTTGGTCCCACGCTGTTGAACTCCGGACCTCTCTCTCGTGTCTTTGCCTCAAATCTCCCATCTTCATTCTACGTGGCACCGTCTCCCACAGACCCCTCTGCCTTCACATTTCCCCACCTTTATCCTGACTGCTTGGAGCCTCTGTCAGGCCTTCCCCGGTCTAGTTTCTCATAGATGCATCCCCCACAATGAGCTGGAAATGTGAGGAGCGGAGGTTGCTGTTCTTAGGAGAATCTGATCCTGAAACCACCCCCAGGGCCCCGTCCGTGGAGAGGCTGTCGTCTGTGAAACTGGCCCCCTTTGCCAAATATGTTCTGAAGCACATCGATTGGGTCACTGACGGGATGGCGGGAGGCAGAGAGAATACGAAGGCTACAAGCGAAGAAGGAAAGCTCCTGAGGAAAGAGATGCGGGTAGAGTCGGTGCCCGCGGGGAGTGCGAGACCTGGAGCAGGACACGTAGAGAGGCAATCGGGCAACGGGGCTGCATCGGGCAGGACCTCTGGTCTGCGGCCGCAGGAGGACGAGCATTAGCTTCGAGAGGCAGCGGGAGAGGTTCCAGGCTCTGAGGAGAAAGCAGGAGGACCGGTACCGTGAGTCACAGGGAAATGAGCAGCAGGGGGCAGTGTATGTTTCAGAGCAGGGATGAGTCTCCCGGGAGGCGGGTTCGGGGGTCGCTACTCCTCTGCCCCCTGGAGAATCGCAACCTCTGTCACTTCCTCCCCCAAAGCCCAGGCTTCTTCTGGTCACACAGGGTCAGGGATGCTCAGCACAGAGATCAAGAGCGGCGAGGGTGTGACAAGGGACTGCATAAACGGCAGCGGCCACGGCTTGCGGTCCCTTCAAGTCACAGCTGTTCTCCTTGGCCGGGGGAGCAGGCATGTCCTGGGCGGGGATGGCAGCCTCTCCAATTCATTACATGGACTTTCTCGACCGTTTTCTGAGACTGCGGTATTTTGACTCTGTCGGCCATGGGATTAGACAGAAATGGTGCACCGGGAAGACGCAGTATCGGGGAGCAGGGCGCAGTCCCCGAGGTGCTGTCCACAGTCCCTCGCTGTGAGCAGCCCCGGGGAGTGAGCATCCGCCCGTCTCCGAGATCCCACTCCGCAGACAGCCCCGGGAGCCGCTCCCTGACTCGCGGACACCGGAACGGGTGACATTCCCGTCTCCCCGGCCCCTCAGCTGGGGGTGACTGTCACGCAGCAGGGGTGACCAGCACGGGGACCAACGGATACACGATGAGGTCACGTGCGGCACGGAATGAGGTCGGGCAAGAGGCAGGGCGGCGAAGTCCATCCACCCGCGTCCCCCGAGACTCACGTCGCTGGGTCGTGAGTCCTCCACCAAGCGACCCGTGCACGCAGATCGCAGCTTGAACCGGAAGAGAACACTGCGGCCACGAACAACCATTTAGCAACTGTGGACCTCCAAACCCGAGACTGGAAATTACTGTCAGAGGCGGAGCAAGTGAGGGTAAGGGGCCTGGCTGGTGGGAGAAATAGTGGCGTTTTTAAAAACTGAAGGACGTAATCTACTATATCAACATCTCATACATTTTTTAAAATTAAATTAGTGGTACATTTTAGGCGTACAGGAGTTACACTCATCATTGGGATCTTGCACCTTTATATGATGCATCTTGGTTCTTATTTTTTCCCTGTTCCCCGTTCTCCCTTCACCCCTGCGCCCTTCCCTGTTTATAAACACATTCTTTCCATGTTTTTCCTTCTTGCATATTTTTTCTTTTCCCTTTTTCCCTTTCCCCAACCCCCCACTTCCTCTACTCTTTAGACCTTTTCCCCCATATTATTACACAATATCAATTATACGTTTTGATCCTTATTTACACTTTTAGTTTTTCACCACTAGAGAAAACTATACAGTATCTACACATGTCTGTCTTATTAATTTCACTTAAGAGTATGGGCTCAATGTGCAACTGCTTAGCTATAAATATCTCTAGTTTCTCATTCTTTATGGCTGAGTAGTATTCCATTTTATTTTTAAAAACCCACAAATCTTCTTTATCTAATCTCCAGTTGGGCTGTTTCCAAGTCTTAGCTATTAGAAACTGTGCTGCTATAAACATGGGTGAGCATATATCACTGTGGTATGATTCTTTTAATTCTTTCTTTTTCTTTTTGTACCAGGGATTGAACTCAGGACCATTACACTTGCCAGGCAGGTGGCAACACCACTGAGCTAAATCCCCAGCCCTGATTCTTTTAATTCTTTTGGGAAGATGCCCAGCAGAGGAATGGCTGGATCAAATGGGACCTCTAATCCTAGTTGTTTGAGGTGTCTCCCTATTGATTTCCACAGTGGTTGCACCAGTCTGCGCTCCCACCAGCAGTGGAGAAGTGTTCCTTTCTCCCCACATCCCCACCAGCATTTGTTATTGGTTGACTTCTTGATAGCAGCCATTCTTTGTGGGGTGAGGTGGAATCTCAGTGCTGTTTTCATCTGCATCTCTCGACTGAGCAGTGGTGTGGAACATCAGGGAGCACCTCTCCTTCTTGATGCATCTTTACACACAGGAAGTTTGGACACCATCAGCCTTCCCCTCCAGGTTTGTCCTGCGTACTTGGCTTCTGCCCACACCCTTCCTGCAGGGGCAGCAGCACCAGCCAGAGACTGCTGGTCCTGGGCTGTGGACCATCAAATCACATCTGTGTTTCCAAGGCCTGATCTTAGTTGTTGTTTCTCACGCTCTACTCTTAATTCCTACTCTGTTATTAGTTAAAGAAGGTATTTACTCAGCTGCTGATGATTAAGAAAATCACAATGGCTGGGGAATTTGAACAATTTCAACCTGTGAGTAAGTGCAGATTTCTGAGTTTCCCTGGGCTTCAGGAGTCAGATGCCACGATGCTGTGGTGTCCTAATCCGTATGTGAAAAATCTGCTGCCCTGGGCGATTCAGAGGGGGCAGCATCCTCTGGAATGTGAGGCTGGGAGAGGGAACGTAAGGGGAAAATCAGCATCCCAAGATTATGGATTTTTCCATTATTATTTGTTTAGTGCTCTGGATATTGAGCTCAGGACCTCGACACTGAGCTATAGCCTCGAGCCCTTTAAAAAAACAGGGCCCACTGGCCAGACTAAGCTGGAATTTCCAGTCCTCCTGTCTCAGCCTCTCCAAGTGCTGGTATTATAGGTATGTGGCGCCTCCCCGGCAGGGTAATAAATCTTTTCCACAAACTTTCTTTCTTAGGGTGAAAAGAGACAGGAGAGAGATCCAGACTCCAGACTGTACACTGTGAAATAAAAAGGTCTTCCTGGATTTAGAAAGCACAGTTTCTTGTCCACGTGTATTGAGAAATCCCCTCTTGGGGGAGTTCCCAGGGAAATAATCCGGCTCTGCTAGGATTGTCTCCTGTGAGGTCCAAGAGTTGAGGAAGAAACACTCCTACCCCACCATGCCTTGATCTCAGCCGCCGCTAGATGGAGCTGCGCTTCCGGTGAGTTCCTTTTCAATGCATTTGAGGGACTACAGGGTGGTCCCTCCTGACCCTCAGTTCTCCTCCTAGATCCAAATTGAGGGAACTGCAGCCGTTCGAGTTATGAAGTACCCTCCTTCCAGTAGCCGAAACTCAGAATGCACAAAGCTCCCGGGAAAAAGGAACACGGGTGTGGGTGACATTTAAAGAAATTGTTTTCAGTTGTAGAGAATGAAAAAAAAAAATGTAACACACACAAATGAATAAAAGAAGAAATATTTGCTCAAGGAAAAGACATGATTGCCCGTGTTCGTGGAGCCACTGGGCATAGCATGCTTCCTCCTGACCTTTGTCTCCTCCTCCTCCTCCTTCTATCACTATCGTGACTTTTACATGAATCAGAGCATTTATTTCCTTTACGGTTTTAGTGCATAGTTATGTGTCCCTGAATGCACAGTTCAATTTTGGTGATTTTGAGTTTTTATATATAAACAGAATCATCTTGGTTATACACTGTTATGACTTCAACTTTTCAGTGTAATCCCTAATATTCATATGGAAGTGTAACTTTTATGCCCTTACTGGTGAACAGTGCTTTATGAATACACTGCCACTTGCCTATTCTATGGTTGACTATCTTTTGGGCAGTTTACAATTTGGGACTGCTATGAACAATTCTGCGTTAAACATTTGTGAACATGTACGCTATTAACATGAACATGTACTTATAAATGATACCATTTACTTAGTTGTGGAATTATGGGGCATGGGAAACCCTTTCCAAAAAGTCTTAGGACCTGGGCATGGTAACACGTTAATGTAAACTTGGAATCCCAGCTACCAGGGAGGCAGAAGTGGGAGGATTGTAAGTTTAAGGGCAGACAGGGAAGACCCTGCCATAAAATTTAAAAATAAAAAGATTGGATATGTATGTTGGTAGTAGAATATGCCTGGGTTGAATCCCTAGGACCACCAAAGAAAAGGAAGGAAGGAAAACAAAACAATGCAGAACACTGACAACACAAAATTCTGCCAAGCTTGTAGAACATCCTCATTTATTGTCTGTGGGAGTACAAAATAGACAGCAAACTAAACACACACACACACACTCTTACTGTCCTATGCAGCGATTACGATCCTCAGTACTTAACCAAAAGAACTGAAGACTTTTGTCCACATAAAAACTTTCCCAAGATGTTCCAAGCGGCTTTTCTCATCACTGCCAAAGCTGGGAACCAGCCAAGATGCCTTCAGTCGAGGAATGGTTGAATAACGGGTGGTACCTCTACACGATGAAATACTATTCAGCACCCCAAAGAAATGAGCTATCAGGCCATGAAAAGATGTACCTACCGCTAAGTGAAAGAAGCTGACTGTCAGAGGCTTACACACTGTGTGACCTCAAGCGCATGGCGTTCTGGAGAAGGCAGAACTGGGGAGCCCATAAAGCGCCAGTGTTTACCAGAGGAGGGAAGGAAGAATTCCAGAGCAGAGAAGATTTTTTAGAGCAGCAAAAGGACTATTGATGACACTATAATTGTGGACACAATTTATGAGAAAAGTGTATTCCACGTGGAAGATGCACTTGAGTGTGGTTCCTGGCAGAAAGCAAAGCAAATGGCAGAGTCCCACGACAGATGGATTTATTTGAATCATCAGACAAGAGTTAGCCTCTGTCCTTTATCTGAAGCAGAAACTTAGAACCAGAAATATTCATGAAATTTTAAGTCACCTGCAAATTTATAAATATTGTGTTCACGAGGATCGGCGCTCATTAAACACGGCCTGCTACACGCCATAAGGGCTGCAGATCATCCTCACTGGGGATTGTTACAGTTTCTCTCTAGATGTCCCCCAACCTCACACGCTTGTAGGTGCGGCTTTGGGGAGGGAATGGATAGTGGGCGATCTCCACTGAGTTGGTACTGCTCAATGGGATGTGGAGAGGGGGAGCCTGGTCGGGGTTAGGGTTAGCTCAGTGGTTCCGCCGCCTTCCTCACAAGCACAAAGTCCAGAGTTCAGTCCCTGGCACCCCCCACACACACAAAAAGAAATTAGTCACTGTAATTTATGATCACATTGTAAAAAAATAATGAGAAAAACAGTACTGAACTAGAAGTACCAGGACAGTTCCGCAGTCTTGTTTTTTAAAGTTTGGCAAATAGGCTGAGCACAGACATGTACACATGCAATCCCCGCTATTTCAGAGGCTGAGACATGAAGGTCACAAGTTCAAAGCCAGCCAAGGAGAGCTGGCCAGGCTCTGTCTCAATATAAAAGGGGGGCTGGGGATGCAGCTCAGTCTTCCACGGATTTGCTCACTGGCGTCCCTCCCCCAAATCCAAGAACTCTGCACCGAACACTGTTTCATGATGAAATAAGGGGTCTTACGTTAATGTACACTGTCTTGTCTAAGACCTAGGACCCAACTCCACGTGGCTCAGATGCGGTCTGAGGTAAGAGAAGTGATACCCACAGGAGCCTCAAGTCTGTTTCTTTCTGCCAAGTCAGGGACACACGTATTTTTTCTAGTAATTACTCAAGGGTAGGGCTCAAGGTGCAACAGAGCTGGAAGTGGGATCAGTGCAGGCTGAGGGACAAACCTGAGTGCCCTCATCACAGGGCTATGAAATCAACCTTTGCAAGAGGCGCCCCGCTCTGGTGGCTGTGCCACTGGTCGGGCTAAATCCTTGCCCAGGACCCCCTCCAGGGATGTGGACTGGCCTCTCTCGGAGGTCCTGACCCCCAGTGCATATCCTTGTCCCTGGTTTGGATCATCTCCGGGAAGCAAATAATTTGCACAGAAAGATTTGCTGTTGTGTGTCAAACAGTATGAGATGTTCGTGGGGTCCTCCCGCGAGACCACGGACACCGTTACAGAGTGTTAGACACGGGGACCAGTTTGACCTAGGGAATTGCTCCACAGTGTTTGTTACTTTGAGTTTCTGTAAGAAGAAACTGGTGCTCAGACAGCTGTGAAGCCTGCTGAGGGTCACACAAATAGTAAGCAGTAGAGGAAATATTTCCTTTAGCACAGCCTGAAAGTAGCGACTCCTGATGATTTATTCATTTAATATCCATAATAATACTCTGGGGCAGTCGCCACCATCTCTTTAACCCAGCAGAACTATAGCCTTTTCAGTATCACATCCAGCCAGTACACGGGGGCAGTGAGACTTGAAAAGCAGGTCCACCCATCCCAGAGCTATTGCCTTAGCTGCTGTGCCTCAGACGGGGTTCCCCCAGGACTGCTTGGGTACGGCTGCATTCCGGAGTGATCATTTCCTTCCTTCTTCCAGGGTACGCTGTGCAACGCACTGCAGGGTTTCTCAAGCTTGGCACTGTTGACACTGGGGCCTGACGCTTCTGTTGCGGGACTTTCCTGGGTGTTGTACAATATTGAGGAGGATCTTGGGCCTCTACCTACTACACGCAAGTAGCAACTGCCCTGCAAGGATGACAGTCAAAATCACTACTGATTTCAAGTTGGATAAATCTGGACCCTGATCCCTTCTCTGAAACCTCTCCAATGTGAGTTCTTAGACAAGCTCATCTCTTTGAGCTCCAGTTTCCTTCTGTGCACAATGGAAGTGTTTTACAGTGAAGACCGACTTTCAAATGAGAATGAAAGGAGAACAGATGTGGACGTCGCCACTAGACCATGCGCGTGTTACACATGGAAACCATCGTCCTTACCAGGCTGTGTGCTGGGGATCACTTCTCTTCTGTGTGTAGTGAAAGTTGAGGTCCACAACAACGGTGCTTCTTAGACTCATGGCTACTGCTGATGAATGTTATCCATGCCGGAAGAGTTACCTCTGCCGTTCATGGTTCATCTCAGGGTTCATGGTTCAGCCTGCAGACTGTGTGGGTTGGTTTATATATGCAGGGTGCTAAATATACCCAAGCTATTATAAATATGAACAATTGAGCTATAATTAATGTAACCATTGAGTTGGTGAGAAAATGAAGACGTAAGCTGGTGGTATTCGTTGTTTAAAGCTCCAGCTTAGAAAGTAGCAGAGCCCAAACTGGACCTCAGTCTCAGGCAGCCTGATTCTCCCAGACTTGTGCTCTCCACCCTCCCCGACCCCATATTCTCTGGCAGACTCAGGGTTTCTTTCCCTACCCTGCAAACCTCTGACAAGGCATTCAGAAGATGATGTTCTCGATAGTCTCGGACTCGCTCATTTGAAAGCATCAGCATCTCCAGGAAGTGCGTTGAGAGACAGGGCCAGGCTAACAAGGCAAAGTTGCAAAATGGCGGGTCTACCCTGACCACAAGATGGCGGAGGAAGCCTTGTGCAACCCGGGTAACCTGCGGCAGCCACAGTGGCCCCGTGTGGTGAGGCCTAACACGTACCAGTCATCCCTAAGTACAATGTCCTTCTTTGGGGGCCCAAAGTCACCATCCTCTGATGCAAGAGGAAACCAGGGGTCAGAGAGAGAGGAGATTACTTGCCCAATGTCACAGTGACTACAGTAACCAAAGATTTCCACCGAAAGACCGAGGATTCTAAATGGGCACCCTGTGCTCCTTGTGAACTCACTCTTTTTTTTTTTTTTTTAGAATATTCGTGTTCTTGTCTTCATGATGACTATTTTGGGGGTACTACTTTCTCCTCAGACCACCTAACTTCCTCCACTACTTTCACAGCCAGCATAGGCACTTGACTGACATTTTCACTGAGAAAATGGTAACAAGTTGATGTCTATTTTTCAGACAACTCTCCCCTGACATTTTCATGTGTTCCTACTCTTTCTGTCTCTCGCCTTCCCCAACATTTGCTTCCTGCATTTTTCTTTTATTTTTTGTGAAACAACTCCCCAGATTTCCTTTCTGCTATTTCAGTCCCACTGTCACAGGCACATCATAGTACCCGTCCCTTTAAAAAGATGTAATCCTTGGCTTGTGTTACTTTCCCACGTCAGCTCTTTCTGTCTGAAAAGGCCACTTCCGGTGAGAAGGATTAACAGCCAGGCTATAGAAGGGGCCGGCTCTAACTGTCCTCCTCACTTCCTTGCTCACATTTGCTCCTGGCCTCACTCCACGTGGCCTTGGTTCTCAGCACTCCGCCGGTGCGGTCTCCTGCAGGAGGCTTAACAACTCCACATTACGGAACCCAGGGGGCCCTTCTCCCATGATTCCCACTGCCATAGAGACTTCTTCCTTCCAGGGACAAGTTTTTCTTTCCCTTTGAGATGAGCCCATGTGCACATGACCATTCTTTAGTAAATCTACAATCTCAATTGGTAATCTCTTTTCAGTGCAACGTACTGAGGTTTTGTCCACCACACTTTTGTCTAAATGTTGGGGTTGTGCCTCTCCCCACCTGCCCATCCTCGATAGTCTTTCCATAGGAGGTACAATCCAGTCTCATGGTTTAAAATATCTTACTAATGCTTTCTAATCTAAATCATCAGCTATGGCATTGCCCCGATGCTCTGTGGCGATATAATCAACTGTCTTCCTGACATCGTGGGAGTTCAAGAGACTCCCCAACTCTAACATGGTCCACGCTAAACTCGGAATCACCCCACTCTCCCACTACTGTCTCTTCTGGACTTACATATGCAGTTGCCAGTGCTCTACATATAGGTCCTGTCTTCGGTTTCTTTCCTTTACCCTTTCAGGCCAACCCTAGGCCTATGGATCCTAAACATACCGAATGTGGGGCCAGACTCACCCCCACCCCAGTGCCGTGGCCCTTTAGATTTTCACTTACCTCACAAACAACTTGGTCAAACACACAACTCCCTCCCTAAAATACACTTTCTTTTTTTTTTAATTTAAATTAAATTTATTGGTACATTCTAGGTAGACAGTACAGTTACATTCATTACTGGGATCTTGTACCTTTACGTGCCAGGTCTTGGTTCTCATTTTTTCCCTTGTCCCCGCCCTCCCATCACCCCCCCTCCCCTCCCCACCTTCAAACACTTTAATTCCATTTTTACATTTTCTCATACTTTTTTTCCTTTTCCCTTGTTCCCCTTTCCCTATCCTTCTCACTGTCCCTACAGCTTTGGTCCTTTTCTTCCTATTTCACATTGCTAATTGTCCTGTTAGGATCTTCTAAGACACATTTTCTACAAAGAAACCAAATAGTCTCTCTCTTTTTTTTTTATGGTACCAGGGATCGAACTCGGGACCTTGTGCTTTTGAGGCAGGCGGCAGAACCCCTGAGCTCAGTCCCCGGCCCCCAAAAGCTCTTTTGAAAGGACCAATTCAGTCATGGCATTGAGGACGGTATGGTGGCGCATGCCAGTGATGGCAGCTACTCAAGAGGCTGAAGAAGGAAAATGGCGAGCTGAGTAACGGGCTCTCTCTCTAAGTAAGTTTTGTTTTGTTTTGTTTTGTTTTTTTTACCTGCAGGCGTGTAGGTCAGCGGTAGAGGAACCCTGGGTTCAGTCCCCAGTGAAATACCTGCATACACACTAAAATTTCCTGATGTCATCCTGCCCAGTGCTCTCCAGGTTACAGCCTAACTCACAGTAAAGCAGCAGCCCGTGTCTGCCCTGGTGCTCCTCACACCTCATCCCTCCGCTCAGAGCTTTCACACCGGGCCCAGTTCACGCCGAGCTCCTCCACCGCCTCCCACGCGCGTCTCCCTGCCAGCTCAGGGCCTCTGTGCTCTCTGCTCCCTTCTGTTCACGGAAGTGTTCTCCCCTCTTGGGCTTCCCTCACCTGCTTCCTTTTGGATATTCACGCCTCAGCTTCAGTATCAGGTCCGCAAAGACCTGGCCTGACCCAGGATGAAAGCCGCTTCCCCAGGCCCAGCCTGTCTCAAGAGACTCTGGTCTATCTGATGACGGATTTATTTCCCTCCCTCTCGTACCCTGTGCATCCTGAGTTCCTTCGGTGCTGTCCCTGTGGTCACACTGTCCAACAGAAATGCAGTGGGACCCACACGTGTGGGGCCCACTGGTCACTTAGAATTTTCTAGTCGCTACGTTAAAAGAGAAGTTTAAAACTCTAAGGAAATGAATTTTCGGGACATATTCCACTCTGGCCAATGTATGAAAAAGTGCATCACTGGAGCGTGTCACTAAAATAAAAACGATCACGCCGGACGTGGGGGCTCAGGTCTGCAACCACAGCTGCTTGGGAGGCTGAGGCAGGAAGATGGTGAGTTCAAGGGCCGCCTGGCAATTTAGTGAGACACTGTCTCAAAAGCTAAATACATAAGAATAAAATTATTAGCGAGATCATTTGTGTCCTGTTTTTCATACTCAGAACTGAACCTACTGGGTGTGTTTTGCACTCAGCACATTCCAAGTCGAAGGCTCAGAAGCCGCCTGAGTCAGGGGGGCACCATACGGACAGCTCCAAATAAGAGGCTAGGAAGTGTCTGTTATACTATAGAAAGGAAAACAGTGGGGCCAGGGGTTTAGCTCGGGCAGACTGCAGGTTACCACCAGCTGGGATTCCCTTTCCTGTGGTGGCCTCCAGGCTGCTGTGGAGTGAATCGGACCGTGGGCCTTCGGCAGAGATTCGCCGATCGAGGGGGGTTTTTCCTCCCCCAGCAGTTGTTTTGTTCTTGGTCTCAGCTCCGCGCACGGGGCTCACCTCCAGCATGGCGCTGCGGGATGTCCTGCAACTCCATCTGTCCCAGGTTCACCAGGAGCAAGGCCAGAGGGCACAGGCTCTCCCTGAAACAGCGGAGCATGACGTGGCCGCTTCTACACCTGCGTGGAGTGCTTGGGAGGCTCTGGGGTCAGAGCTGAAAGGGGCGTCCCCGAGGAGGAGCAGAGTGGAGCAGTCGGCTCGGGCCGAGAGGGTTAAGGAGTCACCGTCAGGGGGTTGGGGTCTGGGACCGAGTGTGCGCAGGGTCGGTTCTCCTGAGGCCTCCCCGCGGTCTCTGATGGCCGTCTCCTCCCTCTGTCCTCACCCGGTCTTCGCGCTCTGCTTTCTGTCCTCCTCTTCCACCACCGACACCGTCACACTGGACCGGGACCCAGCCTGACACCCTCATTTCGACTTGGTTACACCTTGGAAGCCTCCGCCTGTCACATTCTCCGGTGCTAGGGACTGACAGGTGGCGAAGTCCACGCCATAACATGGAGTCGTAGGGAGAGTGAGGAGAGGAGGCGCTGGCGGTGAAGGGGCACGGGGATCCCGGGATAAGTGGGTTCAAGGTCAAAGCTGAAGGGGGTTGGGGATCATTGGCCAAACGGTGGAGTCATGAAGAGGAAATGTAAAGTAAGAGATAAAGAGGGGTTTCTAATTATTGGAATACAGTATTTATACATAGGTATTCATATTGAGTACATCACATCTGCAAGAGAGAGAGAGAGAGAGAGCGAGAGAGAGAGAGAATGTTCTGTAAATATTATCACTCTCAATTCATAGGTGAAGTGAGTCTCAGCAGCAGCCCACCATCTGTTTGTTTGTGTGTTTGTTCATTTTTGAGACAGGGTCTCACTGTGTAGTTGAGACTGACCTGGAACTCACTGTGCAGCCCAGGCTGGTCTCGAACTCACAGCGATCCTCCTGCCTCAGCCTCCCGAGTGCTGGGATTATAGGCGTGCACCACTGTGCCTGGCCTCACCATCTGTTTTTGTACAGGGAGACAGTGGATTTACACTTTTTACTGACACAAGAAAGTCCAAAGAATACTAGTTCATAACATATCAAAAAGATATGAAATCCAGCAGCAACGTCCTTATGTGAAGTTCTGTGATCTGATTGCGTGCCTATCATCTGTGGCTGTGGGGGTGCAGAGTAGAACTCAGAGGTGCACTGCAGACCCTGTCCTGCTAAGTGTTTACTGCCCAGCCCTTTATAGAAAATGCTTCAGGAGGCTGAGGCAGGAGGGTTGCCAAGAATTCAAGGCCAGTCCCTAGGCTTGCTATATAGCAAGACCCTGTCTTAAAGAAGAAGGAAGGAAGGAAGGAAGGAAGGAAGGAAGGAAGGAAGGAAGGAAGGAAGGAAGGAAGGAAGGAAGGAAGGAAGGAAAGAAAGAAAAGATGAGGCAGGGTAGGGTGCAGCTGGTTGAAAAGGAAAGGAAAGAAAAAAGAGAAGACAAGAGAAAAAAAAAGAAGAGAAAGAAAATGGCTACACAGCTGTCCAGTCCCATGACTGCTGTCCTGCAGGATTACAGCCCCCAGTACCATCTCAGGCCCCCAACTGGAGATTTCGCTGTCCTCAGAGGTCACTGGAGAAGTTCAGCTGTGCACAGGCCTGGGGTTTGTGTAGCACCAGCCGGGACCACCCCGCTGCAGCTCAGCCCCAGACCCCTGCCCTCGGTCGTGCCTGGATTAGGCAGCGGGGCCGTGCAAGAGCACAGCGCAGCCCGAGACTCCCTCATTTCCCCACCCTCACAGCTTTGCCGCACACCTCTGTTCACAGCGTTTTTGCAGACCCGGCACATGAATCAAGGGCCATTTGGGAACAAGAAACGAAACCTGCTTATGCTGCCATAAAGGAAGGACATGCTGGGGACAGGCAGGGACATCCCACAAGCCCAGCCAGGGGAAGGGCAGTCTGACTGCTGAGCATCTCAAAATTCGCCCAGCAGCCTTCTCTGTGCTGCTCCCCGTCTCTGTTTGCTTTGGGCATCCGACCCTTCCCCATGCATAGTGGTTCCCTCGCCAGGCTCTTCACTTAAATCGCCCACAGGACTTTGCCTTCTTTGTGACTTGAACATACTCGTTCTTATTACCTCTCTTCCCCCTGAGAACCTTCTAAAATGCATCTGTTATGGAAGACCACAAAGAAATTTTTATAACATACAAATCTGGGTGTGACTCATTCAGTAATTTTCTGCTTTATCCATACTCTCCTGTCTTGGGATGCTGTAGTATGGAGTCAGGATCAACGGCAGCTCTATTGTAGCCATGAGGTGTCAATCAGGAAGAAATCCACAATGCTGAAAGTGGCCCCGTTAAAATAGGCATTTTAAAATTATATTATTCAGAAAGCATTCAACGTATTACTAACCACCTCCAAAATTTTTGTAAAGTGTGCTGTAAATGTCCTTGGTTTAAGTCACTGGTACATGTAATTGTTTACTAGTTAGAATTGAAAACATCCTGTTCAGAACAAGGCATTGGAAACACTGTTTTTAGGATAACTGTTCTTACCTCTGTCTCTGAGCCAGTCTTCATGTATTTATCCAAAATACTCTGGAGCCTTAGTTAAAATTGCTTGAAAACTGAAACCCTGCTGGGCTAGAATCCTATACAGGAGCTCGCACAGGGGTGGGAACTGGGGGGCTGGTCTCACTGTGCGCAGAGTGCTTGGTCCTGTCCAGCTGTCTGGACGTCTCTGCCTCCTCTTGCCCTCCGTATATTTCAGGTTTGTGTCTCTTTCCTCCTCATTTATGCCTTTCTCTGCTTACCTCAGATCCTTCTCACCCCAGTACCTTCCCCTCCATCTTGATTGCTTGGTGGAGAGGGTCCTCAGCACCCTACTCTGTGAGCTTTGATGCCGAGAGAGCTGATCCTCTGCTTCCCCTGCAGGACTGAGGTTGAAGAAAACATTCAAGCGCTGCGGTTTTTGAAGGGACCCAGGCCACTCCTCAAACGCTAGGAAAACAGATGTCCCATTGGTGCGATCTTGTGGTCACTGTGAATCACAAGGAACTTGTGTTTCCTGCTTCCTTTCCGGATTGGTGAGTTCCTTCACCCTTTCCCAGACCCCTCTCAGAGCACAGCTGCTGTCCACAGGAGATCTGGACTTAGAACCGACTTGGGCAAGGACCGCAGCTGGAGAATCACCCGGTGAGAGGCTCACCTGGGGCTGGGGAGCGAGGCCAGGCCGAACGCACAAGAGACCCTTGTGGTGGACCGCGGAGGGACGCAAGAGGAAGAAGTCAGGTAAACTCACAGCCCTGCCTCCGCGTGCCTCTCTAGGAAGGGAAGCCAAGGACTTGTTAGGAAACCAAAAGTGATGTAAAACCGAGGAAGTGGTGTTCTTGAAGATGAAGAACTTTAGGACACGTGGGGGTGCTGAAGGGAACGTGGCCCAGAGAGGTGATTTCGATGCTGCTGAGGCAGGGGGTCAGTGGAGGAGGGAGACAGGGAGACTCTGGAGGCTGTGCGGGCAGGTCTGGGCCAGGGGTCGGCCGGTGGGAGGAAAGGGAGGCTCCAGCCGCGCGGAGCAGGAAGGCGGCAGGACGTGAAATCCGGTCTTGAGGCTCTTGTGAGACCCATCCGTACAACCCAGCTGTGTCAGCTGGAGAATTGCGAGCCGGCTTCCTCCTCAAAGGCTGCTTTGTTTGTTTGTGTTTTTTTGTTTTTGTGTCACTCGGTGTTGAGGATTTTTAGCCGGCGTAACTCCCAGAGATCAGAAGCAAGTGTTCTCCCCCGAGTCTTGGGGCGCACAGCTCTTCCCTCGGGGGCTCCCTAACCTGCTGTGGCGGAACACAGGGGCTGCCCCAGGGTGTGATGCAGGGCTGAAGCAAGACCCAAAGGCAGAACCGAAGGAAAAAGCAGGGAGCCAGGAGGAAGGCCAGCGCCGAGCAACCTGCAAAGGCCCTGGTCAGTCCCCGCCACCGATTTTTATGGGTAATCAAAGTGGGGTAAAAGGAAACTACGGGCGAGGACGTGAGGACGAGCCCACAGCAGTTGCTATGGATACGAATCCGGCCCGAGGCTTGTGAAGGAAAAGGCCGAGCAGTCTCACACTTAGCAACAGAACAGACAAAGCGCGGGTGGGACTTAGAACTTTACCCTTCCAGATAAGGTTTCCGTCAGGGGAATGGAATTTGGCTGCGAGTTACTCAGACCTCAGCTCCGATGGGGACCCGCAGCTTCCCAGGCGGAGAAAGGTTTCTCTGTTCCCTGCTCTGGCCGCTGGCGGTCGCGCTGACCTGCGGCGCTGTGCTCCTCAGGTGCTCCCGGGGCCAAGTGAGCGTCAGGAGGCCTCGCTCCTTAACACAGAGCCAGATGCGGGGCTGACTCCTCGCAGCCTGCTTGGGGCATGATCCACCGGGCGGTCTCTGCGGCGGAATCTTCTCACTGATTGCACGTCTGTTTTCTGCGTACTTTAGAGATTCTTCAGGAAAAACAGTCCCCAGCCTGTCCTGGAAGTTGGAGGGAGGCGGCATCTCCACTTACTTCTGAGACTGGACACTGAGGGTCAGCGGGAATGCTAGCTACACATGAAATTAAAACCGTCTAGTGGGCACTGTCATAAAGTAATAATAGGCCAGGCGTGGTAGCGCACACCTGTCATCCCAGCATTCGGGAGGCTGAGGCAGGGGGATCATTGTGAGTTCGAGACCAGCCTGGGCTACATGGTGAGTTCCAGGTCAGTCTCAACTGTACAGTGAGACCCTGTCTCAAAAACAAAAAAACAAAACAAAACAACAACAACAAACCCAGAAAGTAAGACTAAACTAGTGAAATCAATCTTAACACTTTCTTTTATTAAATAATTATATATTTCATATATGATGATTATTTATTCAACTGGTAGTGCAAAATATTGAGAGATTGTGCATTACTCATTTGCTGCACACTGCTTCTATATTGAGTCTTTCAAAGCGGATGGGCCTTTGCTCTTACCGCCTCTGGCACTCTGGAGTAGCCACAGGTCCAGTGCGTAAAGCCCCAGGGGATTAACGACCCTGTAGGGTTGCTTCAACTGCAGAGCTGGTAATTTACAGAGCAGGGTCAGAAATGGGCCTTATTTGGAGTTTCACGGAACTGTTAAGTGACTTTAAGCAGTTAACTTTGACACTGTGTTTCCCGGTCTGCTCAAGGAGTGGGAAGAAAGGAAGAGAGGGAAGGAAGCAGGGGACAGAGAGAGATGG